TGCTTTCTAACGCAGTTATTCTTCTATTCAGCTGTATACCTGTACTAGCTATTGGACCTCAGGCTTTTCCTTCAGCAGTCAAATTTGTATTTGTCCTTGACCAGAATTGCCATCACATTTGAATCTGACTTTGAATACAGTGTTTTTTCAGATAATATAGTAGTAATGTCTGTAAACTAAACTCTAATACAGGAATTTATTTTCAAAGTGGTTTCATTTTTTTTAGTTCAGAAAATTCTTCTTACAGAAGTTGAACAAATGGTGAATTCAGAGTTCCACATGTAGAAAAGTTTGCTGTTTGCAGCATGCTATTTTGAAGGTATCATAGTTGAAATAAACTCATTGCGACAGGGGGCCATCTTGGGGCCCAGTCTCAACATCAGCCTGCCCACCTGTCTAAGTAGGGCAGTCTGCCCAGTCTCACCTGCCACTACTTGTTGTTCCCAAAACTGGTGTAAAATACAGGAGGCTGCCCATTTTTAATGCCCCGATGCCAGGGGGCACTGTCCATGGCTCTGTACCACCCCTACACCATGGCCTATGCCTCGCAGATGGCATTCATGTTGCTCCAGTGCCCCATACTGTGACCCAAGCTCCAGTGTCTCACATAGGACTCTCACTCCCCACTGGAGCTCGCAGTCACAGTGTCCTCACACTGGGCAGTTCTTTTGACCCAAACTCGGCCCCACAACATCTGAGGGCTTACTGAGGTCTCCCTGTGACCCAGAACTTGGCCTCACCACATCTGAGGACTTACCGGGGCCTCAGCCTCTGGCCCAGCTACAGCCTCAGGTGTCTGTAGACTTACCTTGGCCTCACTGCCCTCTCCCTGGGGCCTTCCACATGTGCCCTCTCCCTGGGGCTGCTCTACATCTCTGCCTCCTTGCTGGGGCCTCCAGGGTCTTGCACCCCATGGGGCTCTGGTGTTCGGAATTGTGCCTGGCCTCTGTGCCTGTCCCTAGGTCTGGGTAACCCACCAGGATGTGGGAGGTGGGTTTTAAGGTGCCCCTACCCACCTTTCACTGGGGAGACAACTGGCCTGGCATTTCTGGAGAGCTGCCCTGCCACAGGCAGCCCCACCAGACCACCCTTCCCCAGCAGGGTGCAGTTGTCAGTCATACCCAGGACCAATGCAGGCCAACCTGATTCCGGCTGGGCTATATGCTGTTCCTGGGC